AGACACTCTAGAAATAAGCAAGTTAAGGTTTAGTGGAAGCCTCACTCCATTTGGGATACTTATTATCCTAAGTCAGTAACTGATGGTGTCCTGGAATCTCTGTATATCCAAGACTTCTTAAAGAGATCCTTCTCATGAACTTTGCTACTTAGAAAGGAAATTAAATATGTGTAATAAAAATATACTGTGGTTTTGGCATTTATTTAAATGTATAAACAACATAAAGAATATATGATTTGGCCAGAGGCAGTGGATTATTCCTATAATCCTAGCCCTTTGGGGGAGGCCATGGTGGACAGATCGCTTCAACCCAGGAATTTGAGACCAGCCTGGGTAACATAGCAAGAACTCATCTCTGCAAAAACTACAAAAAAGTTTAGCCAGGAGTGGTGGTGCCCACCTGTATTCTGTGGTGTATATTTACCGTGTTTCCTTTATCCATTCCACCACTGATGGACATCTAAGTTGATTCTATGTTTTTGCTATTGTGTATAGTGCTGTGATGAACATATGAGTGCATATATCTTTTTGGTAGAATGATTTATTTTTCTCTGGGTACATACCCAGTAGTGGGATTGCTGGGTTGAATAGCAGTTCTTTGAGAAATCACCAAACTGCTTTCCACAGTTGCTGAACTGTGTATAAGCATTCCTTTTGCTCCTCAGCCTCACCAGCATCTATTGTTTGACTTCTAAATAACAACCATTCTGACTGGTGTAAGATGGTTCTCACTGTTCTTTCTATTTGCATTTCTCTGATGATTAGTGATCTTTCGCGTTTTTTCATGTTTGCCTGGCTTCTTTTGAGATATGTCATGTGTTTTGACCAAATTTTAACGGGATTTTTTTTGCTCGTTGAATTGTTTGAGTTCCTTATAAATTCTGGATATCAGATCTTTGCTGGATGAAGTTTGCAAGTATTTTTTTTTCCCCATTCTGTAGGCTATTTACTGTTGATAATTTATTTTACTGTGAAGAAGCTCTTTAATTAGGTCCCATTTGTCAATTTTCATTTTTGTTGAGATTGCTTTTAAGGACTTAGTGATAAATTCTTTCCCAAGGCTGATGTCCGGAATGGCATTTCCTAGGTTTTCTTCTAGGATTCTTATAGTTTGCAGTCTTACTTTTAAATATTTCATCCATCTTCATATATATATATATGTATGTATGTATGTATGTATGTATGTATATATATGTAAAACTGCATTTTAGGTTCTGGGGTACATGTAAAGAATGTGTAGGATTGTTGCATAGGTACATACCTGGCAATGTGGTTTGCTGCCTCCATTCCCATCACCTATATCTGGCATTTCTCCCTATGTTATCCCTCACCAACTTCCTACCCTTCACTGTCCCTCCCCTAGTCCCCCACTGACAGACCTCAGTGTGTGATGCTCCCCTCCCTGTGTCCATGCTCCCCTCCCTGTGTCCATATATACCCAGTAATTGGATTGCTGGGTCAAATGAATTTCTATTTCTAGTTCCTTGAGGAATCGCCACACTGTCTTCCACAATGGTTGAACTAATTTACATTCCCACCAACAGTGTAAAAGTGTTCCTATTTCTCCACATCCTCTCCAGCACCTGTTGTCTCCAGATTTTTTAATGATTGCCATTCTAACTGGCATGAGATGGTATCTCAGTGTAGTTTTGATTTGCATTTCTTTAATGACCAGTGATGAGCATTTTTTCACGTTTCTTGGCCTCATAGATGTCTTCTTTTGAAAAGTGGCTGTTCACATCCTTCACTCACTTTTGAATGGGTTTTTTTCTTGTAAACCTGTTTTAGTTCTTTGTAGATTTAGGATAGAAGTCCTTTGTCAGATGGGTAGAGTGCAAAAATTTTTTACCTTTCTGTTGGTTGCTGGTTCACTCTAATGATTGTTTCTTTTGCTGTGCAGAAGCTGTGGAGATTAATTAGATCCCATTTGTCTATTTTGGCTTTCGTTGCCAATGCTTTGGGTGTTCTAGTCATGAAGTCCTTGCCTATGCCTATGTTCTGAATGGTTTTGCCTAGGTTTTCTTCTGAGGTTTTTATGGTGTTAGGTCTTATGTTTAAGTCTTTAATCCATCTGGAGTTAATTTTAGTGTAAGGTGTTAGGAAGGGGTTCAGTTTCTGCTTTCTGCACATGGCTAGCCAGTTTTCCCAACACCATTTATTAAACAGGCAATCCTTTCCCCATTGCTTGTTTTTGTCTGGTTTGTCAAAGATCAGATGGTTGTAGATGTGTGGCTTTGCCTCCGAGGGCTCTGTTCTGTTCCATTGGTCTATATCTCTGTTTTGGTACCAATACCATGCTGTTTTGATTACTGTAGCCCTGTAGTATAGTTTGAAGTCAGGTAGCATGATGCCTCCCACTTTGTTCTTTTTGCTTAGAATTGACTTGGCTATTTGAACTCTCTTTTGGTTCCATATGAAGTTTAAGGCGTTTTTTTTCCAGTTCTGTGAAGAAGGTCATTGGTAGCTTGATGGGGGTAGCGTTGAATCTGTAAATTACTTTGGGCAGTTTGGCCATTTTCACGATACTGATTCTTCCTAACCATGAAGATGGAATGTTTCTCCATCTGTTTGTGTCCTCTCTTATTTCATTGAGCAGTGGTTTGTGGTACTCCTTGAAGAGGTCCTTTACATCCTTTGTTAGTTGTATTCCTAGTTATTTTATTCTCTTTGTAGCAATTGTGAATGGCAGTTTGTTCTTGATTTGACTCTCTTTAAGTCTGTTATTGGTGTATAGGAATGCTTGTGATTTCTGCACATTGATTTTGTATCCTGAGACTTTGCTGAAGTTGATTATCAGTTTCAGGAGATTTTGGGCTGAGAAAATAGGGTCTTCTAAATATACAATCATGTCATCTGCAAATAGAGACAATTTGACTTCCTCCTTTCCTAATTGAATACCCTTTTTTTCCTTTTCTTGCGTGATTGCTTTGGCCAGAACTTCCAATACTGTATTGAATAGGAGTAGTGAGAGAGGACATCCTTGTCTACTGCCAGATTTCAAAGGGAATGCTTCCAGTTTTTGCCTATTCAGTATGATATTGGCTGTGGGTTTATTGTAAATAGCTTTTATTATTTTGAGATATGTTCCGTCGATACGTAGGTTATTGAGAGTTTTTAGCATAAAGGGCTGTTGAATTTTGTCTAAGGCCTTCTCTGCATCTATTGAGATGATCATGTGGTTTTTGTCTTTGGTTCTGTTTATGTGGTGAATTACGTTTATAGACTTGCGTATGCTGAACCAGCCTTGTGTCTCCGGGATGAAGCCTACTTAATTGTGATGGATAAGCTTTTTGATATGCTGTTGCAATTGGTTTGCCAGTATTTTATTGAAGATTTTTGCATCTATGTTTCCAAAGGAGTGGTACCAGCTCCTCTTTGTATGTCTGGTAGAATTCGGCTGTGAACCCATCTGGACCTGAGCTTTTTTTGGTTGGTAAGCTATTAATTGCTGCCTTAACCTCAGCCTTCGTTATTGGTCTATTCAGGGTTTTGACTTCTTCCTGGTTTAGGCTTGGGTGGGTGTAAGTGTCCAAGAATTTATCGATTTCTTGTAGGTTTACTGGTTTATGTGCATAGAGTTGTTTGTGGTTATCTCTGATGGTGGTTTGTATTTCTGTGGAATCTGTGGTGATATCCCCTTTATCGTTTTTTATTGCATCTATTTAATTTTTCTCTGTTTTCCTTTTTATTGATCTGGCTAGTGGTCTATTTTGTTGATTTTTTCAAAAAACCAGCTCCTGGATTTATTG